TACTGTAGTGAACTGTATACAGATATGAAGCGTCCACATCACACAGGACAGGCCAGGAAAGCTTCCTGGTGGAAAAAAGTGTTGAGTGCTCCAGTGGGCCACAGTTCTGGCTGCGCATAGCAGAATCACTGTGCATTGTTTCAGCATACAGATGTCTAGGCCTCACCCATTGGAATTCTGGTCATTTAGGTCTGGGCTGGGGCCTGGAATCTGTATGTTATTAGGCATCTCACGTGGGTCTAAGCACAGCCAGAAGTAAGATTGCTATTTTTTTTTTAATTTCAAAATGGATTTTTAGCCTTAGTCACATTTGCATCTCAGAGAAATCCTGTGGGAAAAGTAGAGCAGGAATTCACATCTCCTTTCGGTAGGTGAAAAAAATTAGAGGTATGAAAATAAAGTAATGAGCCACAAAATGTCAGTTTTGCTACTCATGTGTCTGGTCTATTAAACAGATAATCTCTCTGGAATCTAGCACTACTCAAAACTGGTTTAAGACTTCTCTCACCTAAGAATTAATGTCTGTCTCCTTCAGTATAAAGCAAGTCTATGTCCATTTAGTAATAAAAGTCACTTTCTCAGTCACACTAGCCACATTTCAAGTGCTCAGTAACCACATGTGGCTAACAGCTGCTGTACTGGACAGTGCGGGTACAGAACCTTGCTATCACTGCTGAAAGTTTTATCCAGCAGTGCTATCTTAGATGAATTGTAGTTGATGAAATCAGGACATATACACTCTCTCTAACAATACATAATTTTGTATGTTTATTGAGTCTGTAAAATATATTTATATGTTGACTACCTTTGACTTCTTCCCCTCTCCCCAAGCTAGAAAGAAGAAACACATATTTTCTTTGTCTTGCAGGTGGTAGGAGGAATGACTTGGTGCATTACCACTTGCAACTTTGATGTAGATGTTGATTTACTCTTTCAAGAAAACTCTACAATAGGTCAAAAAATGTAAGTTGTTAGGGTTTGCCATGGAAGAGCCAAAAAGGAGAAGAGAGTAACTTTTGAGTGCCTACTATGTGCCAGAAGTTGTGTTAGACACTGTACTTATTTTAGTTTTCATTACAACAGGTAATATCGCAGTTAATAGATTACAAAACTGGGAATGAAATAAACCAAGGTCACACAGGTAGCATATAAGCGTCATTTCAGTGTTCAGGCTATTTCTAACACTTTTTAAAAACTTTTTTCCAGTTTTATTGAGATATAATTGACACATCACATTTATTGCTTAAGGTATACAACATAATGCTTTGAGGTTATATACACTATAAAATAATTACCACGACAGGTTAGCATCCATCATCTCACATAGGTATAAATTTTTTCTCCTCATGATAAGAACTTTTAAGATCTACTCTCTTAGCAACTTTCAGATATACAGTGTAGTGTTGATAAAATGGCATGCTATACATTACATCCCCAGAACTTACTTATCTTATAATGAAACTTTGTACCTTTTGACCAACTTTACCCATTTCATCCACCTCCACCTCTGCTAACCACCAATCTGTTCTCTCTTTCTATGAGTTCGATTAAGAAAGTCCACATAGTATTTGCCTTTCTTTGACTTATTTCATTTAGCAAAGTGCCCTCAAGGCTATCCATGGTGTTGCAGATAGCAGAATTTCCTTCTTTTGTATGGCTTAGTAACATGCTATTGCAAATAATGCTGCAATGAATATGGGGGTTCACATATCTCTTCGAGATAGTGATTTTTCTTTCTAATATATACCCAGAAATGAAATTTCTGGATCATATGATAGATCTAATTTTTTGAGGAACCTCCATACTGTTTTTCCATAGTGGCTAGTTGCACCAACAGTACACAAAGTTTCCTTTTTCTCCACATCCTGCCAGCACTTGTTATCTCTTGTCTTTTTTTAAATATATTTTTATTGATTTCAGAGAGGAAGAGAGAGGGAGAAATAGATAGAAACATCAATGATGTGAGAGAATCATTGATCAGTTGCCGCCTACATGCCCCACACTGGTTGTTGTTGGGAGTCCCAGCCTCATTTTTGAGTTGAGGACTGGTTGTAGGGCAATCAATAACCTTATGCAAACACATAAATCTGTACCACTAGAGGGAGCTTTCCTCCTACTGAACCAAAAGATAACTCAAGAAAGGTGGCCCCCCACATGTATAAATAGTTAAGACCTGCCTGGACAAGGAGACAGAGCCAGGGCTGGTAATCATTTTCATTTGCTAAGCTTGGAGTTCGGGAGCAGGGTCAATTTAGCACCCATTTCTGCCCCTCTCAGGTTTCAAGGTATAGGAGTCTTATGGAGATGAAAATAAAATTTATCAGAGAGAGAGCCTTAGATGTTGCCAAATAGGTTTGTTAATATTTCTCTACTAAATTATTCAGTTTGACCCCCAGGAACAGCTGGACCATGGGCTGCCCCACTGCGGCAGGGCACATATCTGAGGCAGAAAGAAGCATGTGACCCATAAGCTGCTCAGAAAGGAGGGGCTACAGGAGTGGCTGGGCCATGTGACAATTTTCTTTCATATCTCAGACCTTTTGGATAAATCACACCTCCTGTATGATTCCATTCTGGGAGGTGGATATTCCTTACTTTCTGTGCATGTGTACAGTAGAGTATCAGTCTTAATATTTTTCTCTTAACATTGCACTTGACATTATTACGGATCAGTGGAGCTGGGATGTGGCTGTTTCCCTCTGCAGTTTTAACCTTGATCCCACCTTGTATAGCTACTTTCTGTATATAAATGTTTTTGTAGTGTGTTCTCCAGAGACCATTCCCTGGGGAGCCATTTAGTTTTTGTCCCTTGATTACTTAGTTCCTACCAAGACGGAGAAGATGAAACATACTAAGGGAACATAGGTAAGACAATAATTGCTCTCACCCAGGCCTGAGTTAGATTTTGGTCTTCAGAATGTCTGTCTCCTGTAAAGGATTATGGAACTGCAGGAAGATAAAGTTGTACAAGATTTATTTGAACCGGGAACACTTCTGGTGGACCCAAAATCACCGAGTTTGAAGCAACTGGTAAGACCTGGTGACCTCATTCACCAGGGCATTCATCCATTAGCAAATAGTCCTATACTTGTAGACAAGGCCACAATATTTGCTATAACTGGCTAAGATTTTTTTAAGGTTCTGAAGTGGGAATATAACCTAAATTATCCATGTAGTCTGAGCCAAAAGCCCGCATTTCTCCATATGGCCCCTTCCGGCCCATACCTTGTAACTGTTTCTCAAGCTTCCTTATCTGTGTGCCATGGCTTTTGGGGTTTAGCAGAACCACTAAATAACCTTTATTCACGCCTCTGATTCAATTAAGATAGACAAAGATTGTTGGAGATCAAATATCATCTGATTAGAGTAGGAGGCTTAAATCTGTGGTAAAATGGACTTGTACACAAGTCCCTCTATCACTCCAACCAGAAAACTGTCCCAACCAGGCCCTGCTTGAACTGGAAAACCTGTCCTGACGGAGATAAGAATGCTTTAGACCTGGGAGCCTGATTCCTCCCCTCCTATTCCAGAGCCTCTTAGGAGGAAAACTGAGAGAGATCAGTGTCCCTCAGGAGCAGTTGGAAATTTCTCTCTGGAAAAAGAAGAGTGAGGATGCATGCTTCTCTCAAATCTACCATTGATTTTAGAGTATCAAAACATTAAAAGTGACTTTTTATTTTAAAAATACTTTTGTGCCAGAGTAGAGAACTCCCAGCTTTTTCTTGAGCTTGTGGCACCGTGTTTCATCTTGTTCTGGACACCTGGCCTGACTGATATTTACAACAATTTTTTAAATGTGTAACCGGTGTTTCCCAGACTTTTGGAAAAAGTAGGTCAGTAAAATGAAATGTAAAAGAACATAGGCTACTGATAACTTTTTATTTTATCATCTAAAGATGTTAAAAAATAATTACTACCTCAAACATCACCATGATTTCATAAAGAATCAAAATATTTCAATATAAAAAAGTAGGAAGCACACAATCTTAGAATAAAGGATGAAGGCAGTGTTGTGGCCTTATATGCACACATCTAAATTTGCCTATTTTTCCTAATTTTGCAGTCAGTCAGGAGAAACTTGGTCATGGTCTGGCATTGAGAAGCCTCAGATTTTTCTGGGATGCTGCCCAGACTTGAGAGATGTCTTAAGAGCCACTTAGTGTGTTCTCACTCTTTGCTTGTTGTTTATTCCAAATAGAGCTCTATCAGAAAAAATTGTCTCTGTTCTGCCAAGAATGAAGTGTCCACACCAGCTGGAGCCTCACCAGATCCAGGGGATGGATTTTATTCACATATTTCCCGTTGTTCAGGTGAGAGTCTTGGTGTGGTTTCTTGTCCTTTGAACGTTGAATTCCTGTAACAGGTCTAGCTCTTGGGCTGCCTGGCCTAGATCCTGGATCTAATGGGTGTGGTGTGGATTTGGTGGCAGCAAAACGTGATGATGTTTCCTGATGTCATCCTCAGAAGGTCGCTGGTACTCCTCCTCCCCTAGTTTCACAGTCACCTGATCTCTGAATGTCCCCATTAGTTGCTTTTTATTGTCCTTTTGGTAAAGATAAGACTCCACAGCCCCCATGCTCTGGTTGCTTCCAACCAGTCCAGCCTCATTCCTTGCTTTCCTTTGTTCTTTCGTTTTCGGTTCCTCTGACTTTCAGTTTTTCTCATAGTTGTTATGCTTCCCCCTGTCATGGGCCTTTCCCCCAAGTTGGAAAGCTCTTCCCTTTTCTTCTTTTCTGTTTAATTCTTACTTATTCAGACCTCAGTTCTACCAAGCCTCCTCAAGAAATCTTCTCCTTACCCAATAATCTAGAGCAGGTTCCTGCCATATCCATTCATAGGGCCACATTCCCTTTCTTCACAGGAATAACCATTACTGTAGTTTGTACCATGTATATTCAAGTGTGTGATTATATATCTGTCTCTCCATCCAACTGTAAGCTTCATGAGGGCAGGCACCTTGGCTGTCTTGCTCACTGTTGTGCTTCCAGCACCTCATGGACTTCTGGCGCTTTGTAGGCATTCAGTGCTGTTTGTTGACTAAATGTCTGTCGGGAGGCTTATGACCACCTCAGTTTTCCCCAGGACCCTGTGATTAAGTGCTTCACGCTGTCCAACTCCCAGTATTTTCTGCAGTTCTTGTGTGCCTCCCCTCTGGGTGCTTGTAAAGAGGAGGAGCAAAGGGACTCACTCACCTTTGTTGCCTATGCTGTGAACACTGCTTTGCATCTGATCCTAATAGAGCCTTTGAAGCTTCTGTTATAATCCCAGTCTAACATTTGAGGATAGTGAGACTCAGAAAGGGTAATTGATTTGCCTACAGGCAGAGTGGCACAGCAAAGGTTCCAATCTAAAGGCTCTGTCCTTTTCCACTCCTCCATTAATGCAGCCGGCAAGGAGAAGGCCATGCAGCGTTGGCTAGAAACGACTTCTAAGTCTGTGTCAAGATTATATAGTGTAGGTGCATGGACTCTGGAGACTTCCTGGGTTCAAATCTTGGCTCTGATGTGTGACCTGAGGCAAAGACTTAACTTCTGTTAAATAGAAATAATAATAGTACCTACCTGATAGGATGAGAATTATGTTATTTTGTGTAAAGCACTTGCCTGAAGGACTGGCCCATTAGTAAGTGCTTTAAATAAGTATTATATAGTTGTTTCTGTTATTATTACTGTTACTGGGAATCTTCCCTGCATTAGATTTCAAATCGCATACCATGAAATTTGTAAATTTGAGCCTAAGACTTTTACTCAAAATTTGATTTGTATCTTTGGTAGACTTTGGTCTCTCTTATTCAAGTAAAGGGTACCTAATTCTTTTTGTGAAAACAAAGTAGGGACCCTGTGTTGATTGTTACCAAAACACTATTACACTGTGAAGTTGTTGCCTTTCCCACCCCCAGAAGCCTGGATCTCTAGTGATTAGACCTACTCAACCCTCTGTTGGAACTTTGAGGGCAAAAAATCTAGGCCAGATGTGAAAAGGGATGAAAGGGAAATGCTCTTCTCTAGTTTGGGCATTTGAGTGTCTGAATGAATGGTTCTGTTTTGTGAGTAGAATGCTGGAGAGCTTTCTGTCTTAATATGAGAGCCTAGGCTAATGATTACTAGATTTCTTAATTTCATGGACCTGTAAAATTTAAAAGCAAAAATGGAGGTTGACTGACAGTGCACCTGTATTTTGCTAGGTAAGTATGCTTTTATCTTTTTTTTAATCCTCACCTGAGGATATCTTTTCATTGATTTCTAGAGAGAGGGAAAGGCAGAGAGAAACATCTATGTGAGATGAACACGTGATTGGTTGCCTCCTGCACAGGCCCAACCAGGGCCGGTGTAGAGCCTGCAACCGAGGTACATGCCCTTGACCAGAGTCAAACCTGGGACCCTTCAGTCCACAGGCCAACACTCTGTCCACTGAGCAAAACCCACTAGGGAAGGCAAGGATGCTTTTTAAACTAACAGCTGCCTTACTTTCATCATCATTTTCTAAAAGAAATATCATTTGGCCCCAATCTCAGACTAAGGGCAAGTCTGGAAATTTAATACCTTTAGCATTATGAAAAACTCACCACATGCCTATAGTTTTTTCCTGTCTTGCTGGTGACCAATGAAAGAACAGTCATAGACCATTGATTGGGAGCCATTGAATTAATTGTCCATGTGATAGAGGCTCACTACCCACGTTCATATAGTGAAGCTACAGTAATGCATTCTGAATGCTAGCCAAGAGGAAAACAATCGAACTTCCAGCCACTGTTAGTTCTAGGTCACATCTTTTTCTCCCATGAGGACATGTGAATCCTGTGAGGGTAAATATTTTTTTCAAATGGTTGGGATCTGTGGCAGAGCTTGGTTGTCTAAGAAGTTCCCTCTATAACCCTTCATACTGGGAACTCCAAAACAGAGCAATCATTTCTCTCAGGGAATCAGTGACTCAATAGGCTTTACTCTCCTTATCTGATCACACTCTCCAGGATCCAGCCACGTAATAACTCCAGTATAGATCTGATTAATAGAGGTAAATCTGAATAAGAAACAAGTATGAAAGGCTGGAAACTGGCTCTCCCCAACTGAAGGAAAGCAGAGCAAAATTGAGTTGAGGAAGAGTCAGCCTCCTTAGTTATCCTGGGCCATGGTGTTGCATGGGGTTTGGGTAACAGGCTAGGCAGTGATTCTCAACCTTCCTAATGCTGCGACCCTTTAATACAGTTCCTCATGTTGTGGTGACCCCCAGTTTCACTGTTACAAATTGAACATAATTAAAGCGTAGTGATTAATCACCAAAAAAAAGTAATTATATATGTGTTTTCCGATGGTCTTAGGCGACCCTTGTGAAAGGGTCTCTACCCACAGCTTGAGAACCGCTGGGCTAGAGTAATCCTGAATGCTGTCTGACTTTCTGCCCTCCTGGATTTTAGTCACTACCTGAGGTCATTGTTTGGAGTAATGGAAATAAATGGAAGATATTAATAACAAAAGAATATTCCTCATATAGTTACTTGCAGCTACCCCTATCCTGGGCAACTTCCTGAGCATTTACTTCCTAAATGTGACCTTTACCTGAGCTGGCCCCCTCAGTGAGCAAGCATTCTTTCTATCCCTGTGGGAACAGCATGTTATATGCCATGTGCCTACTTTCTTAGGTAACAAAATTTTCCAAGTTTGGCTGTGCTCTGAGAAAACTCAACTATTATCCAAAAACTGCTATTGAGATGTAATAGCTTTCTCTGGAGAGGGAAGGACAACCCTGACAGATGGGATCCCCTTCCGTAATGTTCTTCAGTAATAAAAGGAATGAATGAAGAGCCAGGGCAGGAGAAGAGAAGGCCCTTTTTTACTCTTTGCATTCTTACCTAAGAGCACCTGGATCTTCCGCAGGTTATGGGGTGTGGGTGTGTGCATGTGTGTATTTTAATTAACTGGAGTTTTAAGTAGGGAAAAATGAAGAGCAGCTACTTCTGCATTATCAGCTCATTAGAACTGGGAAACATAATAAAATTCATCTGACCAGTCTTCTGGTGTGGAAGACTCTCCCAGTTGTAACTCACAGCATTGTGGCTTGCTAGCTATGGATCAGTGGGCAAATTACGTGGCCTCAGAGCTTCAGGTTCTGTAAAACGCAGCCAGTACCAACTGCTTTATCATGTGTGAAGTAAGAGAGAAAGTGTTGTGACTACCAAACTGACCCAGAGCCTAGGGCTGTTACTCAGTACACCCTATTCTCAAATCTGAATATCTGGGGAATTTTTTTAATCTGTCAAATGAGGGGTTACACTAGGTATTCTCTGTGATTCTTCCCTATTCTCTGGTCTGTGGTGCAAGCAGCCCAGGAAAAAGTTACATTAAGATCTGCTAGAACCAGTTGGCTGTGGGAATAGCCCTGTTTGTGTTGTGCTTCAGGTACTTACTTACAGAGCACTCTAGTACTTGTGATTTCATGTGCTCCCACAGCTCCACCTCTGCTTTATGCAGAGGAGGAAACTGAGTCCTGAGGCTCTGAGGTGAGGCTTTAAAGCTCCTGCACAGCTACCCTGCTCTAGGTCCCACTGGGTCTTAGCATCCAGACGCCTAGTTGGTGGCCTTGTTTCCATTTATTTCCATCACTCATAAGGGTTTTTTAGGACAGTACACGTTGATAGTTTCTCATCACCTGGTCCATTAAAATATGGTGATTTGGGTTCCTGAGTTGTGCCATCTCTGAGTTGACCTTCACCATGGTAGGATTTCATCCTTACTCACATTTCTAACTTTCTTCCCCAGTGGCTGGTGAAGCGAGCTATAGAAACAAAAGAAGAGATGGGTGACTACATCCGTGCCTACTCTATATCCCAGTTCCAGAAAACCTACAGTCTCCCTGAGGTCAGTTTTTCATTTTACTTGTCTGCTGAGACCATGAGTGCATACTTAGCGCCTCCCTGGGAAGAAGCTCAGTAAGCTCAGGCTGCCCTGCCTGCCCATTCCTTCATGCCATCTCTGCCTCTGCTGTGTCAGCATTGAAACGGGGCCTCCTGATTCATTTGAGCTGTCTCTTTTAGGGGGTGCTGAGTATAAAGCCCTACAATTTTGTCCTTTTGTTTAAGAACTTTTCTTAAATTACAAGAACACGAGTATATTTTTGTATAGTCAAATGAAGGTTTTCGAGAGACCACCTGCCTAGGACAGTCCTATATTAACAGTTTAATAATAATCTCAACAACAGCTGATAGCCATCGTAATCCTTACTATATTCTAGTCCAAGCATATCAATACCTTCTACTCCTTAATCCTCTCAACTGCTCCCTGAGATGGGCGATGTTGTCCCATTTTACGGATGGATAAACTGAGGCTTAGAGATTAGTTTACTTGCCTGAGATTTCAGAGCTCATAAGGATTTGAAATGAGACCACTTGTCTGCACCTATGGTTCCCCTTTTTCTTACCAGCTATAGGAATCTGTTTTAAGACCTGCAGAAGCTCTAACTTTTTCCCATACATAATATATTTCAATTTGTTAGAAAATTGAGACTTCTTCAGGTGAAGTTATGATGTGAAGTCAGTTTGTAAGACAGATTTCTGAGCAGTCCAGTTGAGTTTCTGTCTTCACACAAGATTTGTTTAATCCCTGTTTTTTGTTGTACAGGATGATGACTTCATAAAGAGGAAAGAAAAGGCCATCAAGACAGTTGTTGACCTCTCAGTAAGTTCCCCTGCCCTGATCCATCTGTAAAAGAAGCATATAGACTCACAGCCTACAAATAGTGCTTTGATTTAAATCACAAAACCCTGCTGCCTGAGGTTTCTGTCTGCTGGGATTGTCCAGGAGCTGACTAATCTCTGGTGGGTGTGAGGGAAGCCCTGCCTGTCTATGTGCCCCATGTTTGGACACCAACATTCATGGTTAAACCTTGCCACAACCACTGCCCTCTGTTTTTCTTAGCTCCCATTTTAATGGGGAAATTTTTGAAACCCAAAGCCCTTCCTCATTGGTGCCAGTGGCAGGTGTAAACTTTGAATAGCTCAAAAGAAGCAGATGACGAACTGGAGATGGTAAACTGAGATTATCACCCCTTTGGTGGCTTTGGAGAGGCAGAATAGCTTCTGAGCTTGTGCAGGAAACTCTGGAATGTCCTTTGTCACCATACACAGTGTTTCTTGACACAGGGGACTGAATACATGTGTCCACTTCCCCAGGGCAAGGGACAGAGGAGAAATTTGGGCCTTTTCAAAACACTCTGTGCCAGAGTCCAGCAGAATCTTGTCAGCCCACCTCACTCCCAGCTTTCCTACCTGAGGTGATGGGAATGAAGCCTCAATGCCTGGGTGTAAATTCTCTTCTGAAAATAATTTATAGTGTTATTTTGCACATTTTTCACTTTAAGAATAAGTATGGAAAAAAAAATAAGTATGGGTCTCCCAAGAACAATCATTTGATGATGAAAGACATGAAGTGCTTGTTTAAAACAAACAAAAAAGTGTCTTTTTCACTTTATAGTTGTAATTTGTATCTTTAATCAATTCCATTTTGGAAATGGAGGGAATAAAAACCTTTAATATAGTTATACTCTGCAGCCAGACACTGTTTTCAAAATTGGTAGCAGTATCTATACTAATAAAAGGGTAATATGCTAATTAGATTGGGAGACCTTCCAGGAGACGGGCCAGGGAAGGTAGTTGTGGACCATGAGGCCAGTAGGGGAGGGCAGTTGGGGGCCATGAGGCCGGCAGTTGGACATCCCTTGAGGGGTCCCAGATTGGAGAGGGTGCATGCCGGGCTGAGGGACCAACACACACACGCACCCGCCCCTCCAGTGCATGAATTTCGTGCAGCAGGCCACTAGTTAAGTAATAAGAAGAAAAAGAGCACATAACATGACATAGAGTAAATTTTTCCTGGTTATGAAATAAGTGTTCAGTTTAGAATTTCTTTAAAGTTTTTGTTTTTTTTAAGGTTGACAGATGCAGGGGAAGAAAATCAACCTTAATCTCACAATGCAGAAGCAGCCACTTTTGATGGCCAGATGTATTTCTTTCATGTTTTTAATATGCATTTTTATACTGAATTAGAATTGTACTTTAAATACAATTTTATAGGGGTTTTTTTCACTTATCAACACAGTCTTTAAGCTATTAAAAATTTTTCCTAACAGCATTTGTCATGACAAATAATAACCAGTTGGTTGGGTATGCTGTTGCTTTCCCTAATTTTAAATGATGCTTCATATCTGGAAAGATGGGAGAACCAAGCATTACCTCTGATTGGGGAGCCAGGGTAAGAGAAGGGAAATTCTTTTTGAATTTTATAGTAAGTTTGTGTATTACCTACTCAAACACAGGAGCCATGAGGTTATATAAGTTGCCCAAGGTCACACTGGTGATGATGGAGCCACAATGCAAACCACTGTGCTGTGAATCTCTATATAAAAAGATGTTTGCAGCTGATTAGAAAATAATAAGATAAAGAAAAATGAAAAAAAATATTTACAAGTCTCTTGGATAGTTTGTATTGCTTAGTTTATTTCCTTTTTTTAATGTGTGAACTAACATCAGTTGA